GACAAGATGGCGGCGGGGCTGTTTGGGCGGGAAGGGCGGTCGGGCGAGAGGTCCCTCGGTAAATATTGGATTTTTTGGCCCGGTGAATGTCGGTTAGCTGGAGTTTGACATGTTGCGTCAATTTGTGTGCTGGGAAGATGGTGTTTTCCCTCTTCCCCAGCGATGCTCGACCAGAGCTTGGCTCTCAGCCTGATGCACTTTAAAATGGGAAATCTCCCCTTGTCTTTGAGTTCTGAGTCGCTTCCAGCTGTGTAACGTCCCGATGCTTGTACTTTTCCCTCAGTCTGTGCCTGCAAGCATTAACCCAGGGCCGTGAGGCTCTGCAGAGATCTGTGACGTTTGAGGAGGCCCTGGTGGCTAAAGAGCCCTTCCATCCCGGCTGCTTTGGGTGGACAGGAGAGTTTCTGGCTGCACTGCTGAACATGCTGATATGAAGACACCACAGCCACCCTTGAATAACCCACCATATCTGGGAGAGATGTGCCCTCGCAATGTCTCAGGGCCATGAACACGGCTGTCCTGCACCCTGGTGTATCCACTGCAGGCCTGTACCACATAACACGCCAGGAGCACGCTGCTGCGCTCGGGCAGAGGCTGAAACGCTCTCAGCAGTGGGAACACAACGCACAGCGCTGACTGACTGCAACAGAATTGCTCCCGAGTTAAGCGGCAGCAATCCCCTGCAAGCTGTCTGCGAGAGAGAGCCGAGCAGGAAAACAACGAAGAATTACACTATCAAAGTCTGCTTTGTGGTAGTTTGTCTTTTTCTTTAGCAGAAGTGCGAGTCACTCGGGGGATGTTAGAGCTCAGAAAGTGGATTCAGTGTCAAAACTACTTAAAGCACACAAGTTTCTGTTGTGCAAAACCTTGATAGAAGTAGGCTCAGTATGCTCTGTTTTTACTTTGATTGATGGCTGGCAAGAATTAAAACTAAGCAGAGTCTAAAAAGAAGCCTGTGAGGATTAAATAATTTTTTTAGCAATTATTTCTTGCTGGTGAACCTCTGTGAGTCTTAAATAGCAATCTTAAGCATTGAGCTTGTGCTGTACAGCATGACTATGCAGAGCTGCTGCATCTAGGAAGACATGCAGGGTGTCTGGTTTGGAGGACATCCTTCAATCATAGCTGGTTTCCCTGTCTGCTGTCTGTATGGGCAGAGAGTGGGTTTGAGGCAGCCTTGAAGCATCCCCTAAAATGCCATACAGACATATAATCAGTGGTGTGTTCACAAAGGTATGAGAATGCTAGCTCAGAAGCAGAAAAATCACTTATGTATCCCTAAATACTGTGCATATACCTTCTGGATTTATGTATAATACCTCAATCCACTTGATGCAGATTTTAAGAAAATTTTCCCAAGTGTTTAATCACCTGGAAAGTACTAGAGTCCTGAATTGTCCCTGAGGTCTGCTAAAACAAAAGTGTTTTATCTTTGAGGAGTATCACAGTAGATTATGACAGTTGATGTCTGCCTTCTGATCAAACATTGTGTTTGAATGGAATATCGCAGAATTGCAGAATAGTTGTGGTTGGAAGGAAATGGTAGAGATTGTCCAGTTGAACCCCTCACACAAAGCAGGTTCAACCAGAGCAGGTTACTTGGTGTTGGTGTTGAATATCTTCAAGAATGGAAACTTTACGTGTTCAGCCACTTTCTCCTGATAGCTTATAGATCTTTGTGCTATTTGAATGGTGTCTCTGACCTTGCACTCCATGTTTTGAGGGTAAATCCTTGTATTTGACTTGGCAGCTGTTAACCTCGGGATGACATTTTGCCCTCTGGACTTTGTGATACATCTCTGCAGGACAGTTTGCAGGAGTGAGACCTCTCTCTCTACATTCTGCCTTTTCTTGCTTTCTGCCTGGTATATTATCTACAGTGAGCGAATTGTGTCAGATCATCTTGTAATTAGAGTAAATATTATGAATATACTGAAGTGGTACTTAAGATACTGTAAAACTTCTGCTCTTAAACCACTATCAATTTTATTTCTCACTATAGTAAATAGTCCTTTTCAGCTTTAAAGAATAGTAAGGACCAGTCATTCCTTCAAATTGGTGACATCTGTGAAAGCTATGGGTAAATATTGTCCTTATTTCACATTGACAGATTTGATGTTAAGACTTGACACTCTCTGATCTCATTGTTTTGCACAACCCATTTGTTCATGCTCTTGCATTTCCTCTGAGATCCTGCTTTTCCTAAGATTTTATGGACTGTCTGAATGTATCATACATCCTGTAATGCCGTCAAACAAATGAACTTCCAGTTTTACTTTATATATAATGGAATGTTTGTCCTGGGATTGTTTTATTTCCAGACATGTAAACCTAGTCTCTACTACCAATTTTTACTTTAAAGAACCAGGCATTTGAGAGCCGGTGCATGCCTTGCATGTATCCCAGCATGCAGTCAATCAGACTGTTACAGTCACTTGAAGAGATCGCATTAATATGTGGAATTGCAAGATGTGTCAGCACAGAAGCATTTGCAGTGTAAATGGGGTGTTATTGGTCACAACCTGAGTTGAAATGAACCTGAAATAGACTGCAAAGAAATTACTAAGTCAGCACCTAAACAGAGCTAAATAAGCACCAGTAGTGAACAATGCAAGTTTAAAAAAATAAGCAGGGAAATCATTAATTATTCTTTCATAGTATGTTAGTTCATCTGGTTCCCTTTGCAATTTAAAATACTTAGCTTGTAAAATAATTTTTGTCATAAAAATACAAAGCGTGCCAACAGTAGTATCTCAGGAAGCAGGGCAATATTTCATCTGGGGAAATAAACCTTAGTCTATTGGTTTTGTATTATTTGATTGACTTTTCTTTTTTTTTTGGTATTACTTAACTGTGCACTTTTTCATTGAACAGTGGGATGAGAGAAGAGAACGAGACTTAAAACTAGGTCAGAACCAACCACATTAATGGTCTTACTAAAACATATAAAAACAATTGGTTAGAGTACTACTAAAATGGTGAAAAGAGCATCTGCATTGTGAAGGGAAATAGAGATAATGGTAATGTTCAAAATTAGAATCAAACATTCAATCTAGATTAGACTGGAATGTTTTAATAGGAGGACAGAGTTAGGGATAAAAACGCCAGTCTGAGTTTTATTCTTGGCTCTGACAGAGGTTTCCTGACCTTCAGAAAATCGATTTCTGTTCTGTAACAAAGGTGGCATTGCACTTCTTCACTGCCTGAGGTTGCAGTGGTGCTTGTTTCATTTGTGTTTCTGAAGCTCAAATCAGAGGTGTTGTACAAATATTAATAAGGCACGAAATCTGTTGTATGGGGCTTAAAGGCTAGACAAGTACGCAAGTTAGACTCTCCAAAAATGTTAACGTTGACTTCTTAGGACACTTGTTCTCTGTCCAGTATTGCTTGTGGAAAGTGTCATACATTTGGTGATGTGGAGGTGACAAACCGAAGTACTTACATTTTGTTTTTCTTGTGAGTTCTAGTAATGGAAAAACTTACCCTATCTCTCCCACCTTGAGAAAAGAAAAGGATTTCAACATTAATGGTATTCACTGTTTAGTGAACTAAGGCTGATTAAAATTGTTCATCCGAACAGTTGCTTTATATCATTTTCCTAATCTAATTCTTCTGTGTTTTTCATTTTAGGAGATACGACTTTATAAATATTTCTACTCCTGACTAGAAGGAGGTGCGGGGAGTAGTGGATTCCTTATCAAAATAGGAATTCACAAAATGGAACGCCGTTTCTACTCAAGAGAGCTCTTTGCAAAGGGTCAGGCTTTGAAGAGTATTTTGCGATCTTTGGGTGAAGGAAGAGGTTGGGTTTATGTTGTACTGAAGTTGTATGCCTTTGTTACATGATTCTTCCTAATACTGTGAAACAGTGGCTGAATTCCATCTTTTTCTAGTGCTGGGATTCTCTTGAATGTGGATGCAGATTTTGGCATGGATGTTAACCTGTAGCTCGCAAGTTCCTTTTCATACATGACCAGAAGGAAGATCCAACAAAGACCCCTTAGAGGGACTCAGATGTGATGTTGGCAGCAGCAGTGCAGGTTTCAGTCCCGCCTCGTTCCGTCCAGGCAGCTCTGCTCAAAGCTGTGTGCAGCCAGGAGCCTTCTGTAGCCTCCGCTCACCAGGCGATGGCAGCAGCTCTGCCCTGGGATGTTGGGTGCAGAAGGGTGCAGTCAGCTTTTCAGAAGGTACAAACTGATCAAACTTTGGCTGTTTTCACCCCAAAAGATGGGGTTGGGTGGAGATATCAAGCAGTTGCTAGTTGCACCAGCTGCTTCAGATCAGATTGGGTGGAAATACTGAGCAGTTGCTGGTTGAACCAGCTTCTTAAAGCTTCTGGACGATTCCTTTTGCAGTTACGTATTCTTCAGTGTGACCTGAGAGAAGGTGCTGTTGTACCGTAGTGCTGGTATGGCATAGATATCTGACATCATAATATCAGGGTTATATTTGATGTCATGGGACCAGACCTTGTATTTCATGCAACATATGTGCACTGTATCTTGTAAACAACAGGATTACACCAGTCGGCTTTCTTTCCAGGGAGCTGTTCACAGGTCAGAACAACCTAGACTTGGTAGTCATG